TGGCGGAGGGTTGAGAGAATTTAGCAATAATTTTTTAGGATTTTTGTTGAATTTTGGCTGTTTTTTCTTGAATTTTAGTTGATTCTCTCTTTTTGCGTTGGGCATACGGTTGATGGTCCATGAGGTTGGCGCGGAGAGCGTGAAGTACAGTCGTTTGTTTTTTTTTTTTTTTTTTTCAGCCATTAGTCTTAAGCGCGTGAAGACATAGAAATATCCACTTCCTGCACTTTCTTTTTTTCCTTAGCTATATTCCACCATAGACACATGTTCCAAAGCTTAGAACACCTGCCTCCTTCTCCTTCTCTGCTGCGACACATGTTTATCAGATTTTCCTTTCCCATATTAAAGTTTCTTCCATTACACACTTAGGCCTCCTTTGTTTTTTTACAAAAGTACTATTTGAGCAATTTTCTTTTTTGGCGGGTAGACGTTTCGTAAGTGTATGTTTTCTTCCGCAAATATGAAAAAAGACAAAAGACATTTAACCACTTCCAAAACAAACAATACCTTAGTTTCTCACCCTCTCTCTTATCTCATTCCAATTTATTTCACTGGTTCCTCTCTCCGACCATGCCTCGACTTTTCTTCCACATCCCCGACCTCTGTACCGCCATTCCTCTTCTACTATTTCATTCTTTCAACTCATTTCGATCTTGCTTTCTTTGGAATCGGATGGTCAAGAAATTGGATGTTTTTCTTCTTTTCTTTTCGTGAACCCTAATCTAGAGTCTCTCTCTCTCAATCATGCATCTGTTTTCTTTTTCACCTACTGTCTCGATGGATGTCTCGATGGAACAAGAAGGGTGAAGACGAAGACTGAGAGGCTTAAAAAATGGGTGCAGTCCTTATGGGACAGTTGAAGGTTTTGGTCGAGTGTGTCTAAGGTCAAACAAACCGTTGTGCTTAAATAGTGAGTTCCAACTTTAATTATCTAATGTTTGGTTTAATTTAATGATTTAACAGTAGTTAATTTCTTTTGGTGTGGCTTGGAATTTCCCAAGTTTGTGTTCATGATTATATATTATAGGAAATTTGGGTCATAGAACAAGAGATGTTAGTTGAAGAAGAAGAATGAGAGATTGGAAAAAAAAAGCCGACAAAAAAAATAACAAATGACAGGTTTTTGCTTTTAACTATCCATGGTATTTTATTTGATATCAAGAATCTTTTTTTTTTTTTGCTGAATTTGGAACTGTATAAGAATATGAGTTTTATA